AAAAAAAGCTTAGATTATACTGTAAATACACTAATTATTTCTGTACAAAGCACCACCTGCTACACCTATTGTTTTGTATCTTACTGTAGCTGTGTTTTAGTTTCCTGCCAGAGAGTACTCAATGCACAACAACTTAAAGGCACAAGTCACTGGACCAGGAGCTCAAAATATAAGAAACGATAACACCACGGGCCTTCCTTGATGCCCACTTAGATATCTGGTGCTTCCTGATTGCTGTTCTAGCTAATGTATATTTCTGGCCACACATGTTCATACAAATATATAAAATATAACTTTACCAAAAAAACACTTTTAGGTGAAAGAAAGATAATCTGTGTTACAGGCCTTGTAATTTTTAATCAGTTTCAGCTACTATTATTATTTTAGGTTTATGAGCTCACAAAAAAGAAATAAAAAATCTAATACTGTGTAAAAAATACCAATTCATAGTGGTAGAAAATTGTGTTTTAGTTCTGGAGTATTGAATTTACATTTGCTGAATGGAAAGCTAAGTTGATGAATAATAATGTGTTCATAGGCAGTGTTGTGACAAGTAATTATGAGAGGGTTATTTAGCAGGGATAAAAGCCATAACCACACACAGTGTCACAGCACAATAGCAAAAATGGAAATAAAAAAAAAATAAATAAAGATGGAGTGGAGCTTTTAATAAAAGAAAAGGATTTTTGACATAACAGTTTACATACCCTGGAACTATGAGATCAGAGGTATGCAACACAAAAGACCATGCACCAGCAAATACAGTATAACATCTGACCCCATTATTCACAATATTAAGCAAACTAGGATTATACCTGACTTGAGGGTCATATTTTTCTTCTTTTGCCTACTGTGTAACAAATTAATTGCTAAGTCAATTACCTATCCTGAAACTGATACTGTAACATATTTATATATTTATAGAGACAATTGAATAAAAAGAATGGGTAATACCATTCCATTTCTGCATTTTACACAAAGATGTTTACAATTTTTTTAATATTTGCAGATTATTCAGTAAATTTTGGACAACGACACAATGAGGGGAATTTATTAAGGCTAGGTTCACACTGCAGTGTGTAATGCGGCTTACGTTTGTGTTGGCTGCTGTACCTGCAGAAAACACAGAAAAAAGATCTCTGCACCTTTATAACCACCTGCTGACTGCTTAGAGTACAAATACTGCAGGTGCAGGTACAATCACAACCACGCTCTTTCTTCTGGATTCAGCGGCGCGCATGCACGCCCCCTGCTGATCCCGTACTGTGAATGGACACAACATGAGTTTAGCAGATGATTTCAGCCAATTACACAGAGTTCTGTGTTTACTAACAAACAGCATTCTGTTCGTATAGGAACAGCGATCTGGCTGTTTTCCTCCCTGAAAGGCAGGAAGAAAAAAACAGCCAATTAGTAAAGTAAAAGCAGCACACGTTACACATTGTTAGGCACACATTTAACCCCTTGATTGCTCCTGGATGTTAACCTCTTCCCAGTCAGTGTGATCAGTACAGTGTCAGTGTACAGCACTATCATTGACCACTGTGTTAACAGCTTTAGCTCCGCCCCATAGTAAAAATACTGGTAAAGGATGGCAGCTTTGTGCAAAATCACGTATATTTATGTGATTTTGCATTTCCAGATAGGGGGCGCGTGCCCTACCTGAACCACCATTCGCGGCCATGGCTGTCAATGATTGGGTCCCGTCCGGTGATTACTCGCCGGCAACCGGTGACTTCCAAGGATCTCTGATGGAGGGGGGGGGGGACTGTTAGTAAAAAAAAACAGTTCTCCTCCCTGTCAACTCTGGCACACTGCCTTGCAAGGCTGTGCACAGACATGCAAAGCAGTGTGCTTACAGTGAAGCACACAAAGAACTTAATGTAAAACGGTACACAGCACACAGTTAACTCTTTGATCACCCCAGATGTTAACCCCTTCCTGCCCAGTGCCATTAGTACAGTGTCAGTGCTTTTTATTAGCACTGATCACTGTATCGGTGTCACTGGGGATGTCAGTGACACCAAGTCAGTTCCCCCCCAGTGTCAGTCCTGCAGTTCTGCTATAAGTCGCTGATAGCTGCCATTACTAGTAAAAAAAAAAAAGAAAAAAGAAAGCCCAGTCCATATACTGCCATTTGTAAACACTATAACTTTCACGTAAACAAATTAAATTACATGTATTGGTATTTTTTTTATAGAAAAGCCATGTAGCTGAATATATTTTGGCCTAAATTTATGATGAAATTAGATTTTTTTACTGGACATGTTTAATAGCAAAAAGCCAAAAATATTGTTTTTTTCTCAAAATTGTCAGTCTTTTTTTTTTAGCGCAAAAAATAAAAGATGCACAGGTGATCAAATACCACCAAAAGAAAGCTCTATTTATGGGAAAAAAAGACATAAATTTAATTTGGGTGCAGTGTTGCATGAGCACGCAATTGTATGTTACAGTAACGCAGCACCGTAATGCAAAAAATGGCCTGGTCAGGAAGGGGGGTAAAATCTCTGGAAGGCAAGTAGTTAATGTCACTAGCGATGTCAGTGTCTGTTGAGTGACCCTCTCAGATAGTGTCTGTTAGCACCAGATTGCCCGCCACCCAGTCCCACTATAAGTCACTGATCACCACCATTACAGTATAGCGTCTATAGCTGCGTAAATTCCAGTATATAGAAAACAGTTTGTAGACGCTATAACTTTTTTAAAACCAATTAATACATACTTGGGATTTTTTTTTCCAAAGATATGTAGCAGACTGCATTTTGGCCTCAATTTATGAAGAAATTAGATTTTTGATTGTTTTATTGGCTATGTTATATAACAGAAATGAGAAAATATTGTTTGTTTGTTTTATATTATATAATAAAAAAAAAACCCAGTGGTTATCAAATACCACCAAAAGAAAGCTCTATTTGTGTGAAAAAAAATTATAAAAATGTAATTTGTGTACAGAGTTGCACGACCGCACAATTACCAGTTAAAGTAGCACAGTGTCAAAAAGTACAAAAATGGTCTGGTGATGAAGAAGGTAAAACCTTCCAGAGGTAAAGTGGTTAAAAATGCAGCTGCATAAAAGCACCATGTGGTTTCACGCACCCAATAATGATCTGCATTTTCAGATGTGTAGGTGTGCCATTAAGAATTACTGGCACCCCTTTGGTACTGCTAAAGAGCAGCGCATTTTGCCTGCGGGTGCAGGAATGTGAGCAGTTTACAGGCATTCCCACACCCACATGAACCTAGCCTAAGACTGGAGTGGTCAGAATCTGGAGCAGCTGTGCCTGGCAACCAATCAACTTCCATCTTTCATTGTACTTAGCGGAAGATAGAAGCTGACTGGTTACTATGCACAGTTGCTCTAGATTCTATCTTTTCCAGTTTTTGTAATCTCCCCTAATTGTTTTAACAGATTCCAGTACAAAGCAATATGGGTCCACCATTTGTGGCCCACTTGTGCTGTGTTGCACCCAAATGCCCATTTACACGTGCACTTCACTTGTTAACATGTGTTGTCTCAAGCCTGCACATTAATTATGGATGGACTGCCAATGCACCATAGCGGATCAAAAATATGTGACTTTTTTAGCTTTTTTGTTTGTGTCGTGGTGTGCTGTGGTACCTTGCACACTAATGTACAGAGCTTAGGGGTGCACACAGAGCAGGCGCATTGCCATATGTTGTGGAAACGTGCATGTTTTATCAAGCATTGCCACAACGCACAAGTGTTAATGGGTCCTTAAGAAAGCAGAATTTTCCTAACTGAATGTTTAAATTAGTCTTAAGAGAAACTGACCTGATCTCCTTCTGAAGATCTACCTGTCAGGTTATTATGCTAATCCATTGGCTTCAATACTTTTTGAATCACTAACTTAGAATAAGTATGCAAAAGAGGAGAATCAGAAGTCCTTACAGTATACTTGTTCCTGGTTAGCAAGGCAATGTAATAACACAAGTAGCATTTTCTAATGGAGAATTCAGAAGTCATTTCTCTTGGAAGAGGTTTCTTATAAAGTAAACTCAAGTTTACATCACTACACTAAGGGCCCTTTCATACAGCCGAACCGTTCGAGTGCCCCTATCCATTTTTTTAGAAGACCCAATAGGACCACCTATGGGGAGGTGGATGTAAACAGACAATCCGATCCACTACAAAAAAGACGGATGGAGGATCTGTTCCCTATCCACCTAGGATCAGATCGGATGGCAGATGGATGTAAACGGACAGTCGGTCCGTTTAGATCCGACCACCCCATAGAGAACAGCGGGCTGTGTCTTTGTCTGATCCGACTGCGACAGATCTCCCGCTGAGCAGACGGACCTGCTTGGTGGATTCCGGCTGTGTGAAAGGTCTCTAAGACTTAATTCAAATGGGCATTGACACTTGTCCTTGGTGCCGACTGCCTTTGTTTTTGCACCTGCATCTTCAATGGGCTGCATGCATGGTTGGGGCAATTCGCCACCCCTCATCTCTTTTATTGACATTAATATAATAGGAAGACTAATACTATGATACACAAGGAAGCTGCCCCATTTGTATTGTCTGTAAATTATATATAGTCCTATTGTCAAGTAATCCGACACATACTGATGCTGCTAAATTTTATGTAGGCATTTAGGCTTCAATGATCTCTGAGACCTACATCTGCAGTACCTGAACCAGCTGGTTATGTTTTTAGAATTTACCCTTAAAAAAGCATATCAATAGCTGCTTGCAAGTTATTTTTTAGTGCTGCTATTCTGTGGTTTATATTTTATTGAGCATTCTTAAGGTGATACAATCCTGTGGCTCAATATTACACTACTTTGCTTGGTGCATGATCCTGAAATGATGAAGCACTGGATTTGTTGGAATGACTAAATGTCTGCACAGACACTGAGATGGAAAGTAAAGAAACATACTATGTTCACACACAGTACAACACAAAGAACTACGTTGGGAACATCAGGGAAGGTGGAATACTATAACAACACATATTATATTGTTATACTATTCCACCCACCTTAATAGAGAATGCTTAGGTGTTGCCACTCCATATCCTTTCGAATCCAGATTTCCTCCAACTTTCATTGTATCGCAAGGTTTTCTCTGCTCGATGTACTCGTTCATAGTGGATTCCAGAAGAAAAGCAAATTTTCCTTTAGATTTCCGTACACGGGCGACTCCTTCCGCTGTCGTCTTGGTAAATACTGATGGTTCAGCAGATTTCATATAGGTCCACATTTTTTCATAAACAGCAATTTTCGACCTCTGTCAAAGCAGATTTTCTTTTTACTTACTATAAGTTTAGAAATTAGTAATAGTAAAACAAATCCAGAAAATTCAAAGAGAAAATAAATAATTAAAAACAATTTTGGCAAGAAACCATGCTAGATATATGTTTTGATGGGCTTGGCATTCAGCTAATTGGAAGGTCATTGGCTTTTGTGTAGTTAAGTATTAAAGTCTAAATAACTCAGTAAGTGTGCAGCCAGCAGGTTGACAGTGATCTATAACCTTTAAGGCAACAGTAATCCCTCAGACAACAGAATTAATGTACCCAAAACAAAACAGGCGATAATGCATCCAGAGCTGTGTGTTGAAAAAGTATTCATACACCTTGAAATTTTCCACATTTTGTCATGTTACAGCCCAAAAACATAAATGTATTTTATTGGGATTTATGTGATAGATCAACACAAAGTGGCACATTATTGTGAAGTGGAAGGAAAATGAAAAATGGTTTTCAAAATGTTTTACAAATAAATATGTGAAAGTGTGGAGTGCATTTGTATTCAGCACCTCTGAGTCAATACTTTGTAGAACCACCTTTCACTGCAATTACACCTGCAAGTTTTTTTGGGGATGTCTTTACCGGCTTTGCACATCTAGAGAGTGAAATTTTCACTCATTCTTTGCAAAATAGCTCACGTTCTGTCAGATTGGAGAGCGTCTTTGAACAGAAATTTTCATGTCTTGCCACAGACTCTCAATTGGATTTAGGTCTGGATTTTGACTGGGCCATTCTAACACATGAATATGCTTTGATCTAAACCATTCCATTGTAGCTCTGGCTGTATGTTTAGGGTTGTTGTCCTGCTGGAAGTTGAACCTCTGCCCCAATCTCAAGTCTTTTGCAGACTAACAGGTTTTCTTCTAAGATTGCCCTGTATTTGGCTCCATCCATCTTCCTATCAACTTTTACCAGCTTCCCTGTCCCTGCTGAAGAAAAGCATCCCCACAATATGATGCTGCCACCACCATGTTTCACGGTGGGGGGATGGTGTGTTCAGGGTGATGTGCAGTGTGAGTTTTCCGCCACACATAGCAATTTGCTTTTAAGACAAAAAGTTCAATTGTGGTCTCATCTGACAAGACCACCTTCTTCCACATGTTTGCTGTGTCCTACATGGCATCTTGCAAACTGCAAATGGGACTTCTTATGGCTTTCTTTCAACAATGGCTTTCTTCTTGCCATTCTCTCATAAAGGCCAGATTTGTGGAGTGCACGACTACTAGTTGTCCTATCGACAGATTCTTTCACCTGAGCTGTGGATCTCTGCAGCTCCTCCACAGTTACCATGGGCCTCTTGGCTGCTTCTCTGATTAATGCTCTCCTTGTCCAGCCTGTCAATTTAGGTGGATGGCCATGTCTTGGTAGGTTTGCAGTTGTGCCATAGTCTTTCCATTTTTGGATGATGGATTGAATAGTGCTCCATGAGATGCTCAATGCTTGGAATATTTTTTTTATAACCAAAACCTGCTTTAAAAACTTCTTTACAACTTCATCCCTGACCTGTCTGGTGTGTTCCTTGGCCTTCATGATGCTGTTTTTCACTAATGTTCTCTAACAAACCTCTGAGGGCTTCACAGAACAACTGTATTTATACTGAGATGAAATTACACACAGGTGGACTCTATTTACTAATTAAGTGACTTCTGAAGGTAATTGGTTCCACTAGATTTTAATTAGGGGTATCAGAGTAAAGGGGGCTGAAAACAAATGCACGCCACACTTTTTCAGTTATTTATTTGTAAAAAATTTTTAAAACTATTTATCATTTTCATTCCACTTCACAATTATGTGCCACTTTGTGTTGGTTTATCACATAAAATCCCCCAAAATTAAATTTTTTATGTTTTTGGTTGTAACATGACAAAACGAGTAAAATTTCAGGGGGTATGAATACTTTTTCAAGGCACTGTACATTTTAGAGTAACTATACAGAGGGTGGGTAAAAAGTCATGTGAATCACAGATCAACAATGCAACCAGCAGAAGTAATCTAGACTCCAGTTTTTCCCCATCTTAATGTGCTTCTAGCTATATTGGTAGACTTGCAACAGTACAGCTGAGTATCTGTGATACTTTTTTATTTGCACTAACAGCACCAACTTAATACTTCTGGACAAGTTTTTTGAGGTCTGCCCCTTCTTCTCAGTCCATGCAGTATGACATTCAAAGGTTTAGCAAAATTTTAAGTAAAAGCTGAAAAAGAAAACAATCTGTAAAAAAATACACAGGGTAATAACAATGATGAAGTTAAAAGGGGAAATGAGAAAATCTGAAGAAAAATTCCATACGAGGACAAATCATTCAATTTTCAGATAGTGTGTACACAACTTTCAACATCTCCGACATTAGACTTTCCAAATGAAAATTTCTGAAGGGACAAACTCCAAAATGTTTCGTACATATGAACAGAACTAACAATTTTCATTTAATGTGTACTCTTATGGCATGAGAACAATCAGAAACAAAAAAGAGACTTCCAATGTACGCTACAACGTTTCTACATCAAACAAAAAAAAAAATACTTTGTCTTTTGAGAATTTTCAAACAATTAGTACCATCCTTGGATTTGACTTGCTGTGAAACTTTGAGGGAAACCAGATGATCGTTTGCCCATTTTTCTTATAGTGTGTACCAGCCAGCAGTAGAGCACAGGGCTATGGAATGAGCGGGTGGGAGTTACAGAGGTGAGAATGACCATAAACCTATATGATAGTGATATAGAAAGCTGAGTCCATATTCAGTCTATTGTCTATTGAGTCAAACAGAATTATTTGTTTTCCTTCCCTGAGCATTTTTAACGTTTCTTTTTGAGAACCAAAACATTTGTCTTCCATAGAGTTCCCTGGTTGTGCGAAAATGATGTCTCACAAGTGTGCAGTAATAATTTTTATTTTTTTAAATTCCGGTCCTGTTTCAGCATTGTACCATCCCTGGTTGCTCTTGTTGCATTGAATGGGATATACAACATTAACTGGTGGTGCAGCTGCATGGTCCTGTAATATTAAAAGTTCCTTTTGTGTAGGAAACTTTCCAATAGATTAATGTAGATACACAATTTGCAGCAATTATTGTCACAAGGTTTTTTTCTCCTGTTTGTGTCCTTTTGGTCAGAATAAAGATTCTTGCTGATTAGTTTAACTCTATGGTGGTTGGGTTATTGCCTAAAGGTCAGCATTGGGGTTATTGGAAAGTTTCTTTCAGAGTTTCATGTTCTGTTGCAATGGGTTGCAGATCTTTGATTTTCTTGCATACACCTTCATGTACTGAATTGTATGTTGTTTTCCCAGATATCTTAACTAAACAGCAGGATGCATTTAGTTTTATTTTACAACAGACCTGAAGTGAGATTAAGTTCTTGGTAACAAAAGTATGGGACTAACGGAAGTAGCTTAGCAGACATTGTGTGGTTCCATATTAAAGTGTTTGTAAAAACAAACAAAAAACAAACATGTCTTACCTGCTCTGTGCAATGCTTTTGCACAGAGCAGCCCCGATCCTTCTCTTCTCGGGTCCCTCACCAGTGCTCCTAGCTAATCCTCTTCAGCCAGTGCCTCCTTAGGAAGCCACTTCTTATGGGGACACTCATGCAGGCCATAGACAAAGACAACAGGAAACGCCCCCCCCACTGCCTCGTCACATAGTTTGATTGACAGCAGTGGGAGCCAATGGCTTGGACCCGTTGTCTGCGTAGCATATTTTACTCAGAAGGTGAACTTAGCCTCTAAAGCACTGCGTATCATTAACAATTGCAGTATTTATTTCTATAAAAATTAATTTAACATTCTTCCACTTGTGCTGCTGATCTCCTCCAGGCTTTTTCATCCACTTCCCACCTAAATGCACTCCCTCAAGTATTGCCTGCACATCATGACTGTGTACCAGCTTCCTGATAGTGACAGACGTATAACATGCCTCTGCAATGTGTGTCATGATAAATAAATAAAAGTGCAGCGCTAGATGTTTGTAGATAGATGAATAATAAAATGTCCCAAAAAAAAATATTATAAACGCATAAATAAATAGTTCATAAAATATATAGGTAATGCACTTGATGTCGCAGTATACCAAGGCAAGTAGTTACAGGAGCAAATGATAAAATTGCGCACTCACCGGACGCGCATAGGTAATGCACATGTAATCAATATCCAACCAGATCACTTAGGAAGGCGGAATAGGTGAGCATCCATCTAAAGGTAGGAAATCTTGTCTTGGTGGTAAGTGATTATAACTGCCAGGTCCAGAGGTCCCCTTAAGGTTGGATGGGTGCACAGACAGACTACAGGGCTCCCTCCCTCTGGTGGTAGTGAATTGTAATGGGATATTATGTGATTACCTTGAGTGCATTGGCCGCTGATTTTAGAGCGCTCACTTTTCATTCGATTATTTTAATGTGTGTCATGGCCACTTGTAATATCTAGCAGGGGCACATTTGACAGGGTGTCAATGGAAAAGACTGGGAGAAAGCTGTCACCCTATAACAGCATGTCCATGAACAAAGATTTTCATCTTTACCAAAATGTTAATTACATCTGTTGATTATAAGCTGACCTGCCAAATGCAAGACCAATCCCCGTAGCTCCTGCTTCCCCCCCCCCGCACTAGTGCTCTTGTGAATGGACTGTTCCTGGTACTGTCACGCCCATAGATTGGCTTTGGATGTAGAGACAGCAGGAACAGTCCACTACTAGACGTGGGAGAGAGCGGTTTTCTGGAGGAACGAAGGATCAGGGAAGTATAGTTTTCAGTGCGCACCTTGACAAAAAAAAAAGTATGGAGTTCTTCTTTAAGTTATATAGTAACCTTTCAATATTTTTCATTATATGGATAATAGTAGCAATCTAATACTAAGGGGCTAAAAATAGGAACACAAGCTACTCACTTGGGGGAGAACCTTTGGGGGAATCCAGGATGGAAAAGGATCTGGGGGTCCATGTAGATCACAAGCTCAGAAATGGAATGCAATGCCAAGCTTCAGCAAGCAGAGCAAGTATAATATTCACATGCATTAAAAAGGATAAAACAATAATTCTACCACTTTACAAAACTCTGGTCCAGCTGCATCTTGAGTGTGCTGTCCAGTTCTAGTCACCAGTCCTCAGGAGGGAGGAGCAGGAACTGGAGACAGTCCAGAGAAGGGCAACAAAGTTAATATGAGGATTGGAGGACCTCAGTTACGAGGAATAATTACAAGCATTAAACTTATTCTCCCTGGAGAAGAGATTCTTGAGGAGATATGATAGTGATACACAAATACCTCAATGGTGATTTCAGCATAGGGAAAAAGATATTGTGTTTCAGGGACCTTAAGAAGACATGTGGCCACTCAATGAAACTGGAGGAGAAGCAGTTTGACCTTAAACTGCACAGGGGGGCTCTTTACTGTCAGGTTGATAAGGATGTGAAACACCCTTCCACAATAAGTGGTGGTGTTGAACTGGATCGACTTATCAACTATGTCACTATGTAAGAATAACACCTAAAAAAAAAAGGACATGACCTTTTATCTTGCTTCTAAGCTCATAGAACTATAGATTTCTAAGATGAGTTCTTATATTCAAATTTGCTATTCCAGAATAACTAATTATATTTGTCAGTCCTGGTTTTCAGGAAAAACGATGCTGTGTCTATGCCTGCCTCTCCCAAATTTTGGCTGCAGTTACGCTTTACGTTTTCTTATATTAATGGAACTGAAGCTCATTAATAGAGGAACAAATTCCCACTGGGCATCTCATGCATAACAATTCCATCAATGCCAGCAACCGTTATACTGGATTTCTCATATGATGTTCTTGTAATTATTTTTTGCTTCTTTCAGCTCCCCAAGGAATGAGAAGTAATGATCTATGCACATAGACACCCTTTACCTCATGTGCCCAGATCAATAAGTGCGATGCAAATGACAAACATAATACATGTTCGCCCGAGGCAAAGTAAACTAAAGCTCTTTCATAAATTTGTTAAATGTATGGATACCAAAACACTGCTGCTATACCAGCATACATTCACTGTGTTCTGCTGCCAGGAATTCTGCTATCTCCCATAAGCAGCAAACACCATCAATCAATTCACAGAGGTACCAATTTCCTGAAAGTAGGCTTATGAACTGTACCTCTAGTGTATTATATGCCATGTTAAATCAAGCTACAGACAATGATATAGTACTTTAAATAGCAAGTAAAGCTTATAAACAGTATATGTTTACACACATAGATGCATATTTAAATAATGAACTGTGTATTACTGAGATTAATAATGTATACAAACTACCTAGCTGGTAGAAACATATAAAACCCTCAAGGTAAACTCCTGCAGTCATTACCCCCCTCCCCCCCACCTCAACTTTGCTCTCTCCCAAACCTAATTAATTACCGGGGTTAGGTTAAAAAATACAAAAATGCTTACCCTAATGTGGTTCTAAAGGCTGAAGGTTTTTTTAAACTTCATTCATTCCATGCACAAAGATAAAAAAAACTTCTGTGTGTAGCCCCCCCCTAATAATTACCTGAGCCTGATCTCAATCCAGCATGCATGAAAACAGAGGCTCTCTTCTTCCTCATTGGCTCAGAGACAGCAGCAGAAGCCATTGGCTGTCAATAATAGCCAGTGAGAAGGGAGCTGGGGGTATGGCTGAGCCACACTCTGTGTCTATGGACACACAGAGCAGGGCTCAGGAGCAAGCATGCACAAGTGCCCCCATAGCAAGCGGCTTGGGGGCACTCAGCACAAGGGGAAGATCCAGGAGTGCTGGCTGGGGACCTGAAAAGAGGAGGATTCTGGCTGCTCTATGCAAAACCGTTGCACGGAGCAGGTAAGTATGACGTTTGTTATTAAAAAAAAAAAAATTACCTTTAGTATTACTTTAATTTGTGGATGTAAAACGTTGGGGTACCAAGTCCCAGATCCCTTTCCCAAGGAGGGTCTTTCTTTAGGAGTCCAAACTATGGCCTCAGTGACAGCGTCACTTCCTATTGGTTGTCCAGAAGTGGGGTTCTCTCAGGATACAAAAGTCTTCAGTGGGGTGACCAGTCTGTTTCAGCACTGAATAAACTGTTTATCAATTTCATAAAAAGTGCTGGCGAGCGACATGGGCAGCAGAATTAGATGAGTATAATAGAGCTTCTTAAGGTATTATTTTTTTAAAACATGCTAAATCTTTTCCCAGCTTTAAGTAATACTTCTTCTTTTACATGCACTGCAATCCCTTAAGTTTTCTGTCCTTTGATTCTGTTTACAACAGGTTTATATTGTAGAGCATTTCACAAACTGTTGGTGCTATTTAAATCCTGTATAATAATAATAATATTATAAAAACAGACTTTCACATTTGTCCATTTTTATCTACATAAATTTTCATTTTCAGTTTGGAGTCTTTTGTTCTTACACAGTTTAGTGGATCTATTGTGTCACCAGGATAACAGCATACTAGCAGGTAGTACCGTTGCTTGAAAAGTTTAAGTCCTATGACAGATGGTAAGAGCCAACAGCAGATAGTAGAAAAGTCAGTAGGCTGATGGTCAGGTGAAGATAAACCAATCCTAACCAGGAGTCCAAGCTCCAGATAAATAGACAAAGGCTCATGATCAGAATAAGCACACACAAGCTGAGAACTAATGCAGTTAGGGCATTTTACAGTAATCCAGGGTATGACAGGAGTAATCCTTGGCATCAGACAAAAGTCAGACAAGTTTAATCTAATCAAAATCAATCTGTTGATCAATCACATGCTGAATGTCCAGCAGTCTACTTAAGCTTTTCCTTACTAGGACAGGTGTGCAATGAGCTGCAGTGTAATGTAAAGATCAGCAGATGTCAAATTCGAGTTTTATGAATAAACTGTGCACAGACTTTCCACCAAGATGTGAGTTTAGTGTAAACAACCTTTACCACTGTTAGTTTAGGCTACCATAGTAGCAAGTGAGATAGTTAGAGGCACTCATATTCAGACAGGGATATTATCTCGCATCTTGGGAAATCTTCCATTTGGGTGGGTGTTGTCTCTTCACTCCTCTATGACGAAAAACAAAGGGCTTGAAGTTCTGCATTTGTACTTCTGTGAATAATGAGCAAGGATTATGGTGGATTCTGGCAGTGGAAGGAGCCGAGCAACAATACCTCTCTGCTTTTTTCACTCTTTTGACCCCTTAAGTCAAATAGAGCCCTACCAGCTGCATGTACTAAATTTTCCTTAGGTCATCTGCTGCTCCCCCAGCTGCCAGCAGCAAAGAGAAATATCCAGTATTTTCAGGCAGAAGATATGACTAACTCCTGTTCCTCCCACGTGACAACACTGCTACTTGTGTATGCAGCTTGTGGGGCCACCATTACAAGGAACCCATGTTTTCACCCTCTATGAGCAAAGTTCTGATTTGCTTTATACAACAACACAGATTTTTTTCTAAGGGTGGCATGAGACAAGGTTTAGTCTTTACTCTTGTATAATACTCCATTGACCTTTAACAAAGCCATAAAACAGAAATGCTATATCACTCTAGATCTAGCACAGGAGTTTTAAGTTCCTTTACTTGACTGCAGGGATCCTCAAATGTATTAAGAGTTTTCCAATCAGTAGATGGCAGTGACTGAAAACATATGTAGTGAGTATTATAACTCTATGTCAAGCTCTATACCCAAATCCAGTATTGTCTGCAGCCTTGCCGGATTTGAATTGGACATCCATGCCCTGTTTTCTCCACAGAAATTTAAAGAAAGGTCAATGTCAAGGCTGTTTCGTGTGGTGGGAGATCTCTCAATCAGGGTCCAGACAGCAGAAAAGGTCAAGCTACATGACCAATCCCTGCTCTGCTCTACTCATAAAGAGAAATTACATCTTGGTGAAATTGCTTTTGAAAGTTTTGGTTTCCTGTGAATTGCTCTTTGTGGATTTGGGGATTTTATATTGACCCCTATAGGGTAAAACATAATTCTGAACATTGTCACAGAGCTAATTGGACATATCATTAACAATTATGTAAAAATCAACCAAGCTGGACTGCATACTGCCTTACTAGCTGACCAGTGAGAAGATAGATTAGCATTATAATGTAGACAAATATATCAGCTTCACAAATGAGTTACATTATTACAGCCAATATCTGTTACTCAAATTCTGATAAAACTGATTAAAAATACTGTTTTTTGCAGATTCACTTACTTTGAAAAATTCCTTAGTTGAACCAGCATCAAGTGTTCCATATGCAATTTCTGTTTGTTTGGCAAGGTCTTCAGCACTTTCTATTGGTGAAACCATTCTTTCAACCGTTAAAAAGGCAGCCAAATTAGCCGTATAAGATGAGATAATAATGAGGGTAAAAAACCACCATACGCCTCCAACAATGCGACCTGAGAGAGATCTAAACATGAATATGTCAGTACAGGATTATAGCTGTCGTGTTTTTACAGTTCATTACATACATTTGAGAAACATGGTAGTGCAAAGTACAGTGATTGTGATAAAAACACAAGATATTTTTCAAATGAAAAAACATCTATACAGGAGTCATGAGGAAAATGGCATACAGAACATTTCCATTTCCAAGAGTTGTGCTTTAAGTGTCATATTGTCTATTCAGGGCAAAGGTACAGCTTTTCTTGAAATAACAACCACCTATTCAAATCTGCTCATCAATTGCTGGTCAGCTACAGCAGAAGGTCAGAATATTGGTAAAGCACTGCAAAGGTAAGTATCTGTACATGGCCTATTCTAATCCTATGTGCCTCCTTCATGTTTTCTGCCAACAGTAAGATGAGGGCATTAATGGACTTATCCTTTTTTTACCCCTCACCTCCTGCAGCACTCTAACATTGGTTAAAGTTACTTGTACTATACCACTGCTGTCTCGAGACCTTCACTGTGCTGCCTGCTTGGTGTAGCACAACCTCTGGATTGCATTTCCAGAAATACCCCAGTCTGGACCTCTTACTAAATTACATGGCCTCCATTCACTGGGAAACCCTATTGTCAGCCTGTCAGGGGATCTCAGGAGATATATAAGTACCTGTAATAATAAAAATAACAATCTTCTAGAAGAATTATGGGATGCATGGAAATGCTGTACCTCCTACCCCTTAGTGAACACTATTAACGGGAAAATAGAGAGAATTCCATTGCCAATTGGAGGACACATTTCCCTGTTAAGATTGTGGATAGCTGTAAAGATTCATCGGAGAATAAAGCCATGCCCTACTCTACTGAATCTCTACCATAGATTACATAATTTCAGAAGCTATATTACATGTTGTGAAACAACAGGACATCCCTCTTTGGTTGTGTGCACCCCTGAACATGCAAGGAAATACACTTAAAGTGGGACTTAACTTTAAAAGGAAAACTTGGCAAGCAGGCTGGCTTTTTATTGCAGAAAAAACATCCTTACCTGCATGCTTCAGTAGAAATGACACTGAGCTGTGCGTCCACAGCTCAGTGTACTTCCTCGGTGCCTGACCCAGCTAATTAAGATGGTAGAAGATCCCAAACCCAGAGAAAGCTGGGAAGAAGATGTCAGTGCCAGCATGGGTGCCCATGGACATGGCATTGCTGGAGTGAAAGTGTGTATAGTTCTGCTTTAGGCTGGCCACACATATCACAACCTGAATGTGCAATCTCCTTTAAACTCATGACACACATTACAATCTGATTTCACAATCTCCTTTAAATCTATCAACAACTATGTGGTACAAGTATTTGCCTGACTGGATACAAATTGATTGGGTAGACTAGGTAGGTCCTTATCTTACATAGTTCTGATAAACCAAAAGTTGACTTAAGAAAGATTGTACGATCAGGCTACAAAATGAATGATAAGCCTTGGAGCTACAAAAAACTTACATAGACTCACCAGCCACTTTATAAGGTACACCTTGTTAGTACCGAGTTGGCCCCTTTTTGCCTTCAGAACTGCTTGAATTGTTGGTGACATAGATTCAAAAAGATGTTGGAAACATTCCTCAGAGATTTTGGTCCATATTGACATGATAGCATCATGCAGTTACTACAGATTTGTTGGCTGCACATCCATGAACCCTTGATATAAAGCAGGATGGATCCATGCTTTCATGTTGTATACACCAAATTCTGACCCTACCATCTGAATGTTGCAGCTGAAATCGAGACTCATCAGACCAGGCAACATTTTTCCAATCTTCTATTGTCCAATTTTGGTGAGCCTATGTGAATTGTAGCCTCTGTTTTCTGTTCTTAGCTGACAGGAGTGGCACCCAGTGTTGTCTTCTGCAACTGTAGTCCATCTGCTTCAAAGTTCGACATACTGAGGTGGTATTCTGCATACCTTGGTTGTAATGACTGGTTATCTGAGTTACTGTTGCCTTTCTATCACCTTGAAGCCTAGATTGTAAGCTTGAAAGAGTAGGGCCCTCTAACCGCTCGTGTGCTGTTTGTAGTTGCTGTACTGTTTCATGTATTGTCCCCCCCTCTATTGTACAGCGCTGAGCAAACTCTTTGGCGCTATATAAACTCGATGTAATGTAATGTAATGAAGCAGTCTGCCCATTTCTCCTCTGACCTCTGATATCAACAAGGCCTTTTTGTCTACACAACTGCCGCTAACTGGATATTTTTTTTTGACCATTCTCTGTAAACCCTAGAGATGGTTGTACGTGAAAATCCCATTAGATCATCAGTTTTTTAAATACTTGGACCGGCCCGTCCGGCATCAATAACCATGCCATGTTCAAAGTTAATTAAATAAACTTTCTTCCCCATTCTGATGCTCAGTTTGAACTTCAACAAGTCATCTTCACCATGTCTAGATGCCTAAATGCTGTCATGTGATCGGCTTATTAGCAATTTTTGTTACCAAGCAATTGAACAGGTGTACCTAATAAAGTGGCCAGTGAGTGTAGTTACATAGTTTGTCTGCTTGAAAAAAGACACAAGTCCATCCATTTCAACCCACAGAGAAAAAAAAAAAAACACACGCACACACACATAGATAACCTCCATATACACAATCCTATACCCACAGTTGATCCAGAGTAAGGCAATAAAACTCCCAATAAAGCATGATCTAAATGAGCGAGGATAAAAAAATTCCATCCTGATTCCCCAAGAGGCAATCAGATATTTTTTGGATCCACTTTCCCTATAAATATTAGTATCCAGTTACGTTTTGTGCATTTAGGAAGGAATCCAGGCCTTTTATAAAACAATCTACTGAGCTGCCCAGAGCCAGCTCTTGAGGACAAAGGCCTGTCCAAGCAGTCCTTTGAATTATGTCCAACCAAGCAGGCTTTTGTACTATGTAGTTGTTTTAGGTTTAAAGGAGACTATACAATCATATTTTATGGCTACTGCGTTTTAACAAGACTAGGGAATAAAGGGAAATGATCCACGTTTTACCTGCTAATTAATAAATCTAGTAATACATAATCAATGGGCTAAGACATAAGACAGTGGGCTGGTGTCCCTAGCTTGTAATACGGTTAACAATATAGGAAGGAGGATTCTTTACATGGGACTTATAGATGAAAGGATGTCCTCAAAATATTGCATTGGTGGTGGTATTGGAGCTGTGAGCCCTACCATTCTTCCTCAAGCATGGAACTGGTTACAATGTGACTGCTGACCCTACATTCAATTTGGAGACGTACAGCTTGTCTGCCTCTTGGCAATTGTTTTCTGTAAGTTTCTCCTGGTATTTGTAAAGCATTTTCTCTGTGGAGACAAATCTTTTACTCATCTTTGATAAATTATTTAGCTTTTTTACTTATTTATTGAGCACTCCTAAGCGGGTAAAGCTTCGGATGGCTGTACATTTGTACAGTTTTATTTATACAGCATTAGGCATTACTAGATAGTGCACATATAAAGCTGTAGCAATAAAATATTCAAACAAAGAGGCTATATGTCATAAAAATGCTCATGGATGGTTTGAGATTCATGAACTCTCTGTATTGTGTGCCCACAAAGATTTCAGAAAATGGACAACCATTTTCCACAGTCCTTATTAATGGTTTTAAGGGGGGCGCCTGCCAAATAGCTAAATATGCAAATGCAATGTTTATACTGTATATTTGAATATCTTTTACTGCATTCATATTCAAATTCTAAAAGCCTTTGCTGCAGTACAAATCTGGCATTGACAATCTTCCAATAAGAAACAAAAAGAAATGTTACTGATAGCTACATTGCATCAAAAGCATAATTCACAGTGTGCAATTTTACAGAGGATGTGAGCAGTCAGCCAAATTCTCAGTCAAAAACACTTCATTATTAACATTTATAAATTAAAAGTTTCATAATCCTAAATGACTAGCTTCTCTACTGCATATGTATTATTCATGGACTGCAAAGATCCATTCTTATACTGTATTCCTCGGTCCCCATTATCAATTCAATAGAATAGTATTTTTCCCAAATATAGTTTATTAGCAATAATGTTTTTGTTAGTGTTGTGATTTTATTGTGGTATTCCTTACACCCCTCCCTATAACCATTTGGGAGACTGCAGATACAAAATTCTTGGGAGTCTACTTGTGGAAGTCCACTGTGTGCTTACTTCTCCTTGTCAGACTTGTTGTGGCAAGTGTCTTCTCCAAATACATTCTTCACCATTTGTAATCACACGGTTAAGTTGCAAAAAAACATCCAGCCCTGATCTGGTATTTCAAGAAATTGTATTAATAAAGTAATGTTGGGTCACACCAAGTTAAACTTCACTTGACATACAGCAGATATCTCCCACTTTTTACAGGGTTACTCCACACTTAACTATTTATACACCTTTTGTCCAGTCAGGACTCACATAGTATTAAAACATGTGAGAATCTGGCGAAACTAATTAATTTTATGTTGGTTCTACTGCAAAACTTAGGGTGAAGTTACATGATGTGAACCAACATGATGTTCCTTGGATGGATAAACTTCTAGAGGATGTTTTATTATTAGAACTAATTCAAGAACTGAACCACTGGATCGGTGGCTGCAAACATTTTCTTACCAAACCTTGTGAACACAAATATATGGGGAACCTATTTGGAGGAGGGACATACCACAGCAAGTTTAACCCGGGAGAGGAATATGTGCGTGCACAGTGGATTCTCATTATCGTTTTTTCACAAGGGAATTGTGGAAAGTGTCCTACAGTCTCTCTCAAATAGAGGATTGGAAGAGTGTAGGGAATATACCATTGAGTTGGAATCCATAATGAGAAACTGAGGAGCACAGTATAAGTATGGATATGTTCAGCTATAGCAGCCTCCACTCTTGTGTCCATTGTCAGGTAAAAAGACCTGGCTAGCAATCAGCAATTCCAAGTCATCCCAAAAGTGTTCAATAGGGTTGATATCAGAGCTCTGTGCATGTTATTGAAGTCCTGCACATCAAACCATGACATTATGGTGCTGGTATTGTGCACAGGGACTCGGTGGTGCTTGGGACAGAAAATACCTTCCCCAAACAGATGCCACAAGGTAGGAAGTTCACAACTGTCTAAAATGTCTTTGTGCACAAATCCCAGAATTACCGATTATCCCTATAATTTCTGATTTGTTTGAACCCTTTATTGTCATTTCAATTCCAGTGATAACAGAGAGAAGCTATCATTTGTTTCTCTTTGCATTGTTTACTATGTGATTGTTGTGGTTGGACACAGCAATCACATGGTAAAACACCATATGATCACCTGGACACAGAGGTAATGTGACTTGCTGTGTCTGGGCAATATACTAATCGCTGAGCTCCTCAGGTGCGTGCTCTGTAAGCCGTGCCGGAGCTGCCAATGCGGGCTGATGTACAGGTATGTTAGCCCACATCGGCAACGCTTCCTGTCCGCCATCTATAGTGTATGGACACACAGGAAGTACACTCATACATTCATAAATGAAAAAAGTTTGCACATAAAAAAATCCTGTTTCTAATCTATGTTAGGTACTCCAAACCCTGGGCTCTGCTGGAAACATTAACACTGTATTCTGATTGAGGCCAGAAATGTTCTGCTATTTCTGAGCCCTCTTATCAAATACCAAGTCTTTACTTTAGGAATGTGTGGTAATTACATGTAATAGAGTTATAATAAAAACAAACATTTCCAGATCACAGAGTTTGTAAAATGTACTTGACTAGATATTTTGTTTCGAAATTTTGCATACAAACCTTGGTGATATATCACATCCTTGCTGCATGAAGGCTCCAAGGGAGAACCAAAGACTATTGAAAATCCCAAATTCATTTGGAGGCTGATCACTGGGTCCTTCTTTTCCATCTTCTGGTTCTTCCGTATGCCACTCATAAGGACTAAATCGGCTTACAAGAAAAAGGACTACGCTGACGCCAATGTAAGCAAAAACAATGCACATCCAAATTTCATAAGCCAATGGGTCCAAAAATGAAAAGACTCCTGGTTTTGATTTTTGTGGCTTTTTTATCATAATGGAAATTCCTAAGCTCATGAAAGGTTTAGAGAAATCGATGACCTCCTCTCGCACCAGGGTGATAGTCAAAGGAGCCACAGCAATCTCAGCTTTCTGTAAAACAGAAGTGATCATTTATAATATTTAATTAAATGTTCCCTAAGAACACATAATTGTTATAATCTAGGTTCTCTGCACCTGGATAGCCTACCAATGTTCCCTCAAAACTAGGAAAAAACTCACCCCTGCTGGGAGCAATTACCAAATTATGCAATCCTGACACATTGACTACCTCATTTGCTTATTTTTTATACACTTATTTTAAGATCCCATAACCTAGAGGAAATGGACCTAGCTAGTTTACACATTGAATATATTCATTATTACATCTGTAAAACCATTAGATGAAACATGCAGAATTGTGATAATACGATGTAATCCTTTCTTTTACAAAAAGAAAACCATTTTTGCAACTGTAGTACAAGAGATCAAAGAAGAATTATTTCAGAGACTTATGACAGTATCATCAATCACAACACCTATTTACTGCCATAAAACCATCTGAACAAGATGTTGTACAAACATGTTTTATTTTGCTCTTTGCTGAATAAATAACCATTATGCATTGGAAATATGAATATTTGTTATGTCGTAATTGGATAATAATTTAACTAACAATACTACATTAGCTGCAAAAAAATTAAAAGAACTTAAAACAACCTTATTTGGTTCTTATAAATGCTGAAAGGTCCCTATATTCTCCTTTCTGGTGGACCGTGTCTCTTACCTTTCTTCTGTTCCAGAGCTGCAGCCTCAGTCTACTTAGGCACCTGACACTCCTGGGAATCTCGGATGCCCATGTTTCCTTGTTGTGTGCCATGGTTTCATCTTCTAACCCCTATTCAAATACAGGACTTAGCAGTTATGTAGGGGTGAATGGAAGGAGCCAAAGCAAGTGGCAAGGGTCACAGGCATCCAACATTCTTGAAAGTACTAATTGCTGAAGAGTCTGAAATTCTGCAATGGAGCTGAGGTAGGAGACACGGTCTGCCAAAGAAGTGAGTACACTATCTCTTCTTTAGCAAGAACTTTTCAGCTACATTCTTAAGAACCTGGTAAGGATTAATTTTCACAAAAATGAAACTTTTTACTTTATTTCAGAATTACAGAAAAGATTGACAAAAAACAATCACAGTAAGTGACAGAGAAAAGGGTGGGAACAGAAGATGTACAACAGATTCAGTGAACCGGACATTTCTATAAAAAAACAAGGACAAAGTAAAAACTTTTCTCTACAGTACCGATCATTACAAAAACAGCCACTAAAACTGAAGAGAGAACAGCATAGTCTCCTTGTCTGACTCAGGCCCAGTATACATTTTCAGGGTTCTGTATTGAGATAGGTATTCATTTTCTAAACATATAACAGCCTCTAGAATATGTCATAGAAATGAAACGAAAAAGTATTTCCACTTTTGCAGCCACTTTGGAAAACCACCTTCTTTATTGTGGTACTTATTGGCCTTCACATAGCATAACTTTAACAAATATCTAAACATCGCTAGATTTGTAATTGCCTTTTTATTGCTGGAAAATTGTATTTAGCTCTCCCCTCCATGTGATGTTAAGGAGGGAGCTATGGGAAGTTGTGCTTACCATAATTAACTCTGCCTGTAGTGTGCTGGCAGATTCAATTATCACTTAGAATTGAACACTGTCTGTCCTAACAAAGGTTTAAAGATGTCATTGCTTGGTTTCTGCCTTGTATGTTAAAAAAGTGTGCCTGTCTGTCTCTGATTTGCACATTCCAGTCTAGTCAAGGCAACAGAAGCTTCCCTTTATGTATAAACCTATTTTAAAGAAACATTTAAAGTGAAGCTCCACCCATAAGGGGAAGCTCCCCTTGTTTATACCCTCCTCCCCTCCAATGCCACATATGGCACTCTTTTGGTGGGGGAGGGGGGAGGAAATACCTGGTTTTAACAGGTCCCTGCTCCCAAGTCTGGCTCAATTCGCCCCCTCCTTCCCCCCACAGTCTTCTGCGACACTTCACAGGTCCCAGAAGACTATGGGACTATTCACAAGGCGCAGTAGGAAACCAGCTGTGAAGAACTAGCCCAGGGGAAGACGACACTGGACCCTCTGGACAGATAAGTATCCTTATAGTAAAAGTCAGCAGCTACAGTATTTTTTAATTAATAATTTATTTACATGTTTTGGAGGAAGCCTGGAGCTACTCCTTAAAAATGAAGAAATATTTTAAAAAAATTTTTTTTAGGTATGCTGTGCAAATAGAAACACATAACAAACATATTGTGGGGCAACATCTACCATTTTAAGTGCTGATCCAGATTCCACTCATCCCTCCTGGTCTGGACCTTCACAGGTGTTTGCCATAACAGCCCATTCCTGCTCTACTGTACCACAATGTCTGTGTACAAATGGCCGCACACTGCTCACATCACTCACTCAGAAAAGCTTTATTCCTGGTCTGTTTTCTGACAGTCCCTGTCCACAGCCACACTCCTCTGAAGTATTTCTCACTATTATACTTACTATTTTTCTTGCTTTTTTTATTTTATTGTATTTATTTTTTGTACTTCTATGTGGTGGTAATATGCATGTATGTATATGGAACATCTGTATCTTTCCTACTTTGAGTACATTTCCTCATCTTGATAAGGCCTAAAACAGGTGTGTCTTTGGATACATGTCTGTATGTAAACTATGCTTTTGTCAGTTACCAACAGATGCTTTTGATTGTTTTTGATTGTATTTTATAACATGTCCCCCTTCCCTAGACACCCCCATCTGTATGACTAAGCCCAATCAAGTCGAAACACATCAGGGGTTGAGGCTATGGGCAGGGACTGCCAGATAATGACATGATCAGCGTGCAGCAGTATACACAAACATATTATGGGGGTTTCTCAAATTTGACTGCAAAAGTGGAAATACACTTTAAATCTGGTTTATTTGTAACTAACAGAGTGTCTTTTTTAGATACTATAGCTATACAATCATAACATCTGGCAGTATGTAATTATGAGATATTATATGCTTACCCCATATACAAGCTCTCCCACCATTCCATTCCAGATCTTTGTGTCTGAATCTCTTGCTCCATATTTTCCATCAGGAACAATGGCAATTTTATACTTGATACCAATATGTTTTGCAATTTCATAGGCCAGATCTACACAATATCCTTCAAACTTATCATTTCCTTCCAACAGCTCATGGTTTTTCTTGTACATTACATAAGGGGCTTCCTATAATGAAAAGAGGAAAGCTTGAAAAAGAAACATGCTTGGAATGATTTGAAGTGAAGGTACCTTATGTTCTCATACAGGTTACAAGATGTCTACACAATGCTGTTAACAAACTACATAACTTGGAATACACTAACAAAGCTGTATTGCACTGATTACATGGTCAAAGAATATTTCCACCTTTAGGCAACAATCTTAATCCAGGGCAAGATGCAGCTCTAACCATAACCTATTAGCTATAAACAAATTTGGACTGAGTAGAACATCTATCATAGAATTTCATACAAATTTGGACAAATCCCAGGTTACTGAATTTACAGCTGATACTAACCTTTATGAGCCATTATTGTCACTGAAATCACAGGCTTTCTGGAGCCATGAAAGTGGTCAGTGGCCAGTTAAGTTTCACTTAACTGGCCTTATAAGAGTGTCTAAGATAATAACAGTGCTGAAGTGTTAAAAGCTTCCGGTGTCTACACAATTTAATCTTCCAATGAATCTCTATTTCTCTGTGAAGACCCATAGATTCTAGGCTCAGGCTGTGCACAGGACCTTAACTCCCCAAATGAAGATGAGGGCCTGTCTCCTTATGCAACTAATGCCAAATGCCATGTTATGGTTATGTTTCAAATACCGGCACCTCTACTGTCTATGAATGCCATGTCATTTAACAGCGAATGATCAAATGTGGACCTTAGTGCGAGGATGCGGTGGTGCATAATCCTGTTGTGGATAGCTTTTATGGCCACTACTAAGATAGATATTTTACTTTGGTACTGTTGTGACCTTAGCCACTTTTTAGGCCAGGTCAGGTTACCCCAGGGGCAAACTGACAACTCATGGGGCCCCCGGGCAATAGGGGAGCATGGGGCCCCTGTGTCCTTGCCCAAACTCGAAAAAGGTACCAGGGGCATCTCATGGGGCCCCCTACTGACCTCGGGCCCTTGGGCAGAGCCCGAGTTTCCAAATGGTCAGTCCGCCCCTGGTGGTAACAGGCCTATACACAGGGGGTTATTTACTGAAACTGGAGAGTGCAAAATCTGGGTTACCCTTAAATTATTTGGAACAACCCTAGTTTCTGTTCTAGTATCAGAATAAAGAACTGTAAAAAGCACAGTTCCAAATGCCACTCAGCTTCAGACTACACCTGGGATATACCTGGGGAAAGGTAAATGATAGTTTGGGACTTACTTTCCCTTGATATTTCATGAAATCATACACGCACTTCAACAGCCCTCTGACAGCTGGCAATCTACTGTATGTAGATTACAGTAGTACATATACATTCATGAATTTGCAAACACATAAAGGTGAAAATACCCTTTAAAATGCAGTGCATTTTCCACTGGATTTAAAATTTATACAAACAAAAACTTTTAACAAAACACCTTAATGTAATGAAGACAGCATATACACTGAAAAATACTAAAAGAACAATATATTGATGTTACAACACTTTTCTAATAATACAACAAAATGCACAAAGGATTTCACAGTTTAAACTACAAGGAGCAAAAAGGTAGATGTGAAAACAACAGCTACAGTGGTTTAAAAATATGAAATGTGTTTATAGGTGCCCATTATAGTTTTTCCAGTTGTACTCATGATATCCAAAGGTATAGCTTTTATTTGATGTTATACCACATTTCACCGATTCATTTTGGTAAACATAATGTCAGTGGAAATAGAAAGTATCACCTGATTTGTCTGCAGCTAATAACACTTGAATTACAAGAGATTCACCAGTAACTGAAATTGTATTTAATGTTAAAGCAAACAGGAGATCATCACTATTTTGTCCCACTACTTATTGTTAATTTATGCGAACTGAAACATACTTTGTGTAATAAATAATAAATATATATGAATTATATAATGGGCTCATAGACAAATGACTGTATATCACCATAATTATTAAATTTCAAACTGTTAAAAAAACTCAAAATACACTTTGTTGCAAAGTATTAAAAAATTATGAATTCTACTTGAGCAGTAAAATTGAATGTGACTATGTATTCATAGGCAGCAAACAGAAAAAAAATCTAATTAAACGAATACACCAAGGGGTAGATTTACTAAACCTGGTGCACACAGAATCTGGTACAGCTGTGCATGGTAGCCAATCAGCTTCTAACTTAAGCTTGTTCAATTCAGCTTTGACAATAAAACATGGAAGCTGATTGGTTTCTATGCAGAAATGCATCGGATTTTGCACCTTCTAGGTTAAGTAAATTACACCCAAGTGTCTAACCTTATTACCTTTTAGTATTTAGATATCTATTTTATTTTTTATCCATGCATAGAGAAAACGATGCAGATTTCAGTGCCACCTCTATTGCTTTAGGTGACAAAAATAATAACAAAAATATTAAAAAGCATAAATCAGATAGGAAAAAATTCACCTTTGGCTAGAGCAAAACTAAAAGCCATGTAGTGCAACTTTATACAAATATAAGAGCATCATGTCTTTAATAATTTCTAACTGGCAAAAGCAAAAATCCACTGGCCACTGTAGAGATATTCCTCTTGGTTGGCTGGTGGTAACATCCATTAAAGAGTGAGTTCACACCATACTGCATGACTTCGCATAGCACATAACATATGTGCACTGCTATATTATGTTATCATAGCACTGCCCACTCGTTTCTTGTTTCTTTTTTTTTAATATGTTATCTCTATGTACTGCATTAATTTATCACAACACACATGAATGCAGCACATTGGTGGTAACCAGGGGCGGACTAACAACTCATGGGGCCCCAGGACAATAGGGGATCATGGGGCCCCTGTGTCCTTGCCCAAACTCAAAAAATCCTATGAAAAAGGTACCAGGGGCATCTCATGGGGCCCCCACTGACCCTGGGCCCTTGGGCAGTGCCCGAGTTTCCAAATGGTCAGTCCGCCCCTGGAGGCCTATACACAGAGGGTTATTTACTGAAACTGGAGAGTGCAAAATCTGGTGCAGCTGTGCAGAGAAACCAATCAGCGTCCAGGTTTAACTGCCAAAACTTAATTTTTTAAGTCCGCAAACGTGCAACTATAAACGCAAAAACCCGTAAGTGTATCACAAAAAAAGTGCAAGTGCAAAACACCACACGAAAAAGTGCACTTAGGGGTGTGCTGTGTCCTACCCCTAAAGGGGCTTGGACCGCTTACCCTGATCCCCCGGGGCACGAAGCTCCTGACGGGGACAAGGTTCCCAATTGGTCCTCCTGGCCAAAAGGCCTGGTGGACCACCGTTCCTTGTGTCCAGCCGAAGCCAGACACACAGTACTTGGTCAGGGGGCTCTCCCGAAGAAAAGCCCCCTAGGGATCAGGGGAGGAAGGAACCAAAAGGCCACACATCCTCCCCCTAGACTTCAGGGTAGGCCCGAGGACCCACACCCTCCATCCGTGAAACACACACATAAGCGAAAGAAAAAGTGACAAACGTGTAAATAAATGAAATAAATAAATAAATAGAAAATAAAAAATGGTACCATGCCAAATTGTGCACAGACCAGGCCCTGAGGCCCGTAGCAAAAATTGCCCTGGACTTAGCCAAAAGACCTGGTCCTTAGGGCGCTGTGCAAAAAGAGTGAAAAACAGTGACCATGTGCCATCTTCACACTGTGGGGTCCCACACCCAGGTGTTACTAGTGGCACCCCTGAGAGCGTCTATTCAGGGGGCACTGAGTTTGCGGACTTTCTGCGTCCTCAGCCCCTGGCCAGACCAAGGTAGATCCGTCCAAATCAGGAGGTACTGGGTCTTTCCAGTCTTCTTGGAGGAATTACTCCCGAGGCCCCAGAACGAATCATGGCGCTCCCCGGTTTCTGTCCCTCCGGTACTAGCCTTCCGGACCCCCATCATACCAGTGAGGGTACTATACAACAGCCATCCCCGCAAAGCTAGAATGGCCGGGAGCACCCCCAATGGACACTGATAAGAACAGATACTACACTTGATCTTAGCCAAAAGGACTGCCAAAACTTAATTGAGCAACCTGAAGTTAAAAGCTGATTGGCTACCATGCACAGCTGCAGCAGATTCTGAGTGCACCAGTCTTAGTAAATCCCCCTCATACTGAGGGTTGTTACCTTTTTGTCAAATTTATACAATATATAAAGTCACAGCCTATTTTTTACTACCTGATAGCCTAGTGGGTGGATAGAATCCCTCTCTGTTTTTTTTTGCTCTTTACCCTCATTTTCTGTCCCAGAGACAGCAAGCAGGAAGCTTAGATGTGCCAAAACAGTTTTGGCTTTACATACATTTTGAACTGTGCTCTTGGTGTAAATTTTGTAATGACCCATCCCAGATGCTGGGTGAGTGATTTAAGATAATCGCAGTTCTAGAGCAGAGGCTGAGCGCTGTGGCTGTAAAGAGACGAACGTAATGTCTAGTGGCAAATATCTGCCTGTATCAATCTAGCATTACTATCAAGCATTTCATTAAACATAATCAGGTATTGTAAGCAAGGCAAGCAAAGCCCTGCTTGACTGTCTGATCCAGTGCTGATCCAGCCAAGTATATGCTTTAAGCTCTGATGTTTTTTTAATGGCTGGGTCCTGTATAAATGAAAACTGATTGTGCATAGAGGCAGCTATAGAAACATACTGGCACAGGAGTGGGATTAGGTAAGCAATCAACAGAAGGTATGTGGTGAACAATCATAATTCATGAATATAGTTGCTCAAATATGCCTTTGTTAGATTTGTAGGCATTTCAACTGAACAGGTCAGGGTGCACGGGATGCAGAAGACATTGAATCTGAACCACATTGAAGTCAATGATGAAAAAATGGTGGGGTTTTTTTGGGCTTCTGGAGGGTTACTACTGCAGCCAAATGCAACAAAATAGTATGGGAAGCCCACCACTTGTCTAGCAACATGTGGCTATTTAATAAAAAGGGAAAAATGTTTTACAGCACTTGGGAGGGCCATTTTAATGGCTTCAAGATCAACATGGGAAAGATGCAAATCCTTCAATTCTTCAATTTACAGCTTTGTGGGGTGGTATC